TTTAAATGTTCCTCAAATGTTATAGGTGTGTTATAAGGTCCTTTTTATTGCCTTTCATTGCAAAATTTAATTCAATTAGCATTTTCATGTGTCAAAAAAACAAACAAAAAAACAGTTAAACCATGTTAACTATAAGTCAGCTCCAAACAAAGGGCAAAAAGGACTCCCCTACATGGTTTCTCTGGGCAAACTAGAGGCCTGTGAAGGGAAGCAACTCTCCAAGGAAAGAATCACCCTAAGTAATTATTGTTGCCTGGCTAACTTTTGGGAATGAAAGGGAGGTTGGAAAACAAGCATTTAAGACCTGCTATTTTCTTTTGTTACTGGGAATTTAAAAGAAGCTTGTAAAGATTATATAGAGTTAAATGTACAAGCACTGCATAGCCATTTTCTCCAGAATGGGGCTCATCCCCACTTTGATTGATACTCATGCAGCTAGCGGTGGAAGGGGCAGAAAGGGGCAGAATATGCATCAGGTGGGACCAGGCTCCCTGATACCTGATTTCTTGGGCTGTGCTGCCGGCACCTTATAAACCAGGGGTCGGCTAACTTTTTAAAAAGGGGGCTGCTTCATTGTCCCTCAGACCGTTGGAGGGCCCTGGGATGAGTCAGCTGCTAAGCAGGACAGGCAGCGGTGGCAAAAAACACCTGGAGGATCCAATAAATGTCCTAGGCAGGCCACATGTGACCCATGGGCAGTACTTTGAGGATGCCTGTAGGCACAGGAGAGCCAGTGGGTACTAAGTGGTACACTGGTAAGAGAGGTTAATTCCAGACAAGTGCTGGGGGGCAGAGGAGACCACTTTTCTCAGGGCTTTTACCCCAAGCACTGAAAGGATGCTTCCTTTTGTTTGGCAGAAGGCTTCTTGGGTTGGTCAGAGGACTCTTTGACAACCCAGGAATACAGGGTGGGATTGATTAAGAGGCTGGACGTTTGTTCTTTCCCACAGATGGGTAACGTTCTCTTAACAAGAAAACTGTCATCAGCGGGGACCAGGCTCCCGGATACCTAATTTTCAGCCTATGCTGCCAGAACACTCCACTGGGCTATATTCTGAAGCACTGGGACATGTCTGATCCCCAGACGCTGAAAAAAAAATGTATGGTCTTCTTCTGCACCCAGGCCTGGCCTCAGTATCAACTCTCCACTGGTGAATAATGGCCTCCAGGGGGTACTCTTAATTATGACACCATTTTTCAGTTAGATACTTTTTGTAAAACAAGAAGAAAAGTGGTCTGAAGTGCCCTATGTGCAAGCTTTCTTTTTCCTCAGGGACAACCCTCAACTGTGTAAAACCTGTCAGATAGATTCAGCTCTCCTGGCTGTAGTAACTTCCCCAAATGGTCAGGGATTCCCAAGGGAGATGCTGTCACAACCTAGTTCAAACCCGTATCTACTTCTCCTGCACCTTCCTCTGTGCATTCAGAAAACCCCAAGACGGAGGCTGTGTCAAGTTTTTTCTGGTCCTACTGGGATCTCCAGAAGACAACCATATCCTTCTTTGTGTCCCTTGGTTGGGAATGCAGATGGTGAAAAGGGAACTGCATGAGTATACACTCCATTTTCTCTAGTGGACTTAAAGCAAATTAAGGTTGATTTAGGAAAATTTTCTGATGACCCCAATAAGTACAAAGATGTTCTCCAAGGGTCAGGACAAAGCTTTGACCTCTCTTGAAGAGATGTAATGTTACTACTAGATCAAACTTTAAATTTTAATGAAAAAAATGAAGTCTTAGATGAAGCTAGAAAGTGTGGTGATTGGGGCAGCACCTGTGGCTCAAAGGAGTAAGGCACTGGCCCCATATGCTGGAGGTGGTGGGTTCAAACCCAGCCCTGGCCAAAAGTTGCAAAAAAAAAAAAAAAGAAAGAAAGTGGGGTGATTTGTGGTTCATGGCGCCAGCTACATACACCAAGGGTGGCATGTTCGAACCCAGCCCAGACCAGCTAAACAACAACAACTGCAACAAAAAATAGCGGGGCATTGTGGTCGGTGCCTGTAGTCCCAGCTATTTGAGAGGCTGAGTCAAGAGAATCCCTTAAGCCCAAGAGTTTGAGGTTGCTGTGAGCTGTGACACCACAGCACTCTACCATGGGTGACACAATGAGGCTTTGTCTCAAAAGAAAAAAAAAAGAAACTGGGCAGCATCTGTGGCTCAGTGAGTAGGGTGCAGGTTCCAACCCGGCCCCAGCCAAACTGCAACAAAAAAATAGCCAGGTGTTGTGGCCGGATGCCTGTAGTCCCAGCTACTCAGGAGGCTGAGGCAAGAGAACTGCCTAAGCCCAGGAGTTGGAGGTTGCTGTGAGCTGTAATGCCACAGCAGTCAATAATGGCAATAAGGTGAGACTCTATCTCTTAAAAAAAAAGATTGCTTTGACCAAAAAAAAGCCACTGAGATATTCTAACAGTGCAAGAATTGTTCAGTATTAGAAAATCTACTACAATCTATCCTGTTTGTTTTATAAACACTTTTACTTTTGAACAGGGTCTCACTCTGTCACCCAGGCCGGAGTGTGATGACCTCACTGCAGCCTCAACCTTCCCATCTCAGCCTCCCTAACAGCTGGGATGACAGGTGCATACCATCACACCCAGCTAGTCTTTGTGTAGATAAGGAATCTCACTATGTTGCCCAGGCTGGTCTCACCTGGCCTCAAGTAATCCTCTCACCTTAACCTTCCAAAGTGCTGCATTACAGGTATGAGCCACTGTACCTAGCTAAAGAATATATTTTAATCAATTTACTGTCGCCTATGTGTACACCGTCTATAGTCAGTCTACAGCACTATATGGCAATGTTCTAGGTCTGCCAAGTTCCATCATGGTAAGTACCCTAGACAAGGTACCATTTTGTACTCTTTTATAACTTATTTCTACAGTACTTTCCCATGATGAGATATATGTAGACATACAAATTTTTACCATAGTGTTACAGTACAGTAATAAGCTGTGCAGGTGTGTACTCCAGGAACAATAGGCTAGACCACCTATGTATGTCCATGAGCACTCCACGATGTTTATACAACTACGAAATAGCCTAATGGTACATTTCTCAGATTGCATCCTATGGTTAAGTGGCACAGGACTGTATCATTTATTAATATTTATACTCACAAAAGCAACAGAAACCTATCTGGGGTGAGAGTAACAAGGACCTCTAAACCCTATATTTGCACATCCACTGGGGCCCAGGGCACAAGAGCAAGAGCTGCTTCCTACACCAGTGCACACTTGTGAGAGCCAGTCTCACCACCCCACTGGGGGACCTAGCCTCACTGCCCCACTGGCGGACTCAGCCTACCTGCCCTATGACTCCCTTACTTCTCTCCCAACAGTGCAGCTGGGGTCCCTGTCTGACTCTGACTGACCCACTTATTCCGACTGGGTGTGACAGAGACTCTGGGGCTCTCTGGGGACATCTGGGGCAGCCTCAGGAGCAGGAGGCCCAACAGGACGTGGCTGCCCAAACCCAGGGCACAGTTGCAGATGGCAAGAGTGCAGCAGTATATAGCCTGAAAGCAGCAGTTTCACTCAAATGGCTACCAGCTCACAGGCCACAGATGCCCACCATACACCTCAGCGACCCAGGAGCTTGCCTGGGCTGTGGGCTGAAGTCAAACATCACAAGTGCACTGTCTAAGCCTCTAACACTGGCAAAAGATTACCCAAGTGTTTTAAAAATCTAGCAGTGGTTCTCAACCTTCCTAATGCTGTAACCCTTTAATAGATCCTCATGTTGTGGTGACCCCCCAACCATAAAATTATTTTCGTTGCTACTTCATAACTGTAATTTTGCTACCGTTATGAATCGTAATGTAAATATTTGATATGCAGGATATTGTTACAAAGAGATCATGACCCACAGGTTGAGAACCACTGATCTAGAGTAAAGTTTTAGAGAAACAAAGTTTTGTTACTTTGTCTTTATGGGGAGCTCCCAGATATTCTAACAAGATCTCATTACTCTGATAACAATGATTAAATTCAGGATAACGGGATAAAAATGTATATAGTGAGACTTCATTTAGTACCTCGATTCCCAAATTTATTTGAAAACCTCATTTTCTACACTTACTGCTCACTTTACTAGGAAATCAGGTTTACAAATAAACATGGGAAATAAGTGAGTATTATGCGTATACTCACTTACTACACAAAGCCACATTTTGTTAAGTTTATCCATAAATTAGCAACTTAGGATTTTATAGTCTTTCCCCAGAGGACACTTTATCTTCCAGGGACATGGAGCCCTGGACCACCCAGTGCTCTGTGACACCTCCTTTTGTGGCTCATGAAATAGCAGGAAGACACTGTCTTTGTGGCTGATCCACATTCAGTCAGTCCAGTCTTCAAGAAAAGGCCAAGCTGGCGGGCAACACAGGCCACACACACCTTGGCAGGGATGCAAATGACCTGTGTGCTGGGTGCTTAGTCTCAGAAAGTGCGCCCAATCTCAAAGATATAGCAACCACCAAAAACAACGTCGACTTCTACAACCACATAAAGTAAGTCTGTATGCCCTCATTTTTCTACTGTAAAATTTTGCACATCATGGGTTTTTTTTTGTAAGACAGGGTTAGTGAGTAAATTAAATGCAAGCTCAAAGAACACTGATGAAGGGGGCGGCGCCTATGGCTCAAAGGAGTAGGGCACTGACCCCACATGCCAGAGGTGGTGGGTTCAAGCCCAGCCCTGGCCAAACACTGCAAAAAAAAAAAAAAA